GAAGAGGAAAATATTACCTAGGACCTATTGCAATTCTTATCTCCACAGTCTGGTTTGCTTTTTTTTTTTTTTTTTTTTAATTTATAATGTAAACAAACAATCCATCCTAGACATGAATGAAGTTTTCATCTACTGCATGACCCCGCCATCAAAGCTGGTAGAGAATGTTAAATTATCAGAGGAAGTAACTCTGTACCTGCTAGAGTAACAAGGAGACAGTATCCTTTGGACAGACCTGAAGAAAGATAACTGTTAGCCCACACGCTTTCGTAGCCTTGTAGTACTGCAAAACATTCTCTTAGTTTTCACTGCATTTGAACAAACTGCTATTTGACTGCAGTGATAGTTTTAGGAATGGTCAAGTCCACAGAAGTAATAAAAGCTAGAAACATTTCAGCAGAGAGGCTGAAATTGTTACTTGCAGTCCTCAAAACACCTATGGATTTGGGTTTGCTCCCAGTCACAAACAAAAAGGGCTGGGACTTCCAGTCTAATCGATGGAAAAGACATAACAGTACTAGTTAAAGGAAGGAGAAAAGAAAAAATTGACTCCTTTCCAAAGACACTCTTGAAGACATCCCTTCTAGGATTTGTGCATTTATTTATGCACACACAAATCCAGCTTGTGCCCTGCTACCAACCTCTGCTGGCATTTACAGAGTGCCAGTCTAGTCTGCTATGCAATACATAGCAACTGCTGTATTCCTCATTGTGATTAACTCTTAGAGCAATTGACCTGAAGAAAACACATGGCACTGATAACTCATGCAGTTCATAGGTTTCTTCCTCTCCAGTCTCCAAGAATGAAGGGGTACCTTTTGGTTTTTTTTTTTTTCTTTTTTGTTAGTTCTTAAATTAGAACAATTAAAACGTCTGAAGATACTGTGAATACAATTGGCGACTGTAGTGAGGTTATATGCTTACCAAAGAAAAAACTTAACATCAGCTTGACAATTAACAAATGCAATATTCGATTCCAATTGAAATTAGATGACTACTCACAATAATTACCACTCTGATTCATAAATTGTCTCAAGAATAGATGCTAATAGTTCAAAAAACTTTTTATCCCAGCTAGCCCTTTCCACAATAAATTGTGTTTATCATGACCATAACTTAGAGAAGCTTGAATTGCAGTTTCAACACTGCAAAAAGCAAAATGTACAGGAGTATCTGAATGTTGTTCAGAAGAAAACTAGCACCTCTCCCATCCTCCACAGGCATCAAGTAATATAACTGCAAGAAACCTAGTCATTATGCAAATCAATTCAGTCCTGTGATTGGTTATTGCAGTGTGAAAAGCTTCATCACTATCTCTGAGTTCTGAAATTAACAGCTAGCATCTGCCCTGTCCAGTTTAGTCCATCAACTTTCTTTTTAACTTTGTTTTTAGAAGAATCTTTCAATAAACTTATGATTATTGACACTAGCATTTATAAAGGAGTGAAATAATATCATGTGAACAAGACTTTTAGCTAAGCTTTTAGCTAACACTTCCAGAAACAGTTATCTGCAGGTTGACTTACTGCACAAATTAACTAGCCTGGTGATACATTTATTACATAATAACTACTCTGTCATCTGCACTGTATATTTTTAAGCACAGAGCTCTACTGTACCTGATGTATCTAAATTATAAAATTTAGTTCCAGATGGTCATTTTAGTGCAAAGCCAATCCCAGTATGTGAAGTTTGTTCTTCCACTTCTCAACTAGTTTATCATATCCATTCTGAATTTGGAACTCATGCAGCAGTGTACCTTCTTAAATTTTAACAAGGGAATTATCATGGAAGATAGGGAACAGAGGGAGGTGGTATAAGACAACCATCATAGCTTCAACAAGGGCAACTCATACCTGATCACCTTAGTGGACTCCTGTATAAGCATAACAGAACTTCAGTAAGGCCTTTAATGTGGTCCCACACAACATCTTTCTCTCTAGTTTAGGAAGATATGAGTTTGACAGATGGAGAGTTTGATGGATGAAGAACCAGTTGTAAGATTGTACCCAGAGTGGTGGTCAGTGGTTCACTGTCTGAATGGAGATCAGTGATAAGCGGGGTCAGCCAGGGGTCAGTACTGGGATCAGTACATTTTACCAACTTCAACAATGACACTGACAGCAGGATCATTGGTGCAGATGACACCAAGCTGTGTGGTGCAGTCAACAAGCCTGAGGGACAGGATGCCATCCAGAGAGATCTAGACAGGCTGAGCAATGGGCCCAGGTGAACCTCGGGAGATTCAGTAACTCCAAGTACCAGGTTCGCACTTGGATCGTGGCAATCCCAGCTATCAATTCAAGCTGGGAGATGTAAGGATAGAGCACAGCTCTGCCAAAACAGACTTGAGGGTACTGGTGGATGGATGGGAAGTTGGACATGAGTCAGCAATATGCCTTTGCAGCCCAGAAAACCAAATGCATGAAAAGAAGTATGACCAGCTGAATGAGAGAGGTGATCCTGTCCCTCTTCTCAGCTCTAGATGGACTTCACCTCTGTTCAGGTGAGGAGTCCTCAGTACATTAGAAACATAGCACTGGTGGAGGGAGTCCAGAGGAGGACCATGAAAATAAACTCCTCCATGAGGCTAGGCTGAAAGAGCTAGGACTGTTCAGCCTGGAGATAAGAAAGCTCCAGGGAGAGCTGAGAACAGCCTTTCAGTAGTCAAACCTTGGGGGGGGGGGGGGAAGAGGGGGAAGTAGGGCTGCAAGAAAGGAGAGATCCTTTAGCAGGGTCTGCTGTGACAGAAAAAGAGGAAACGGTTTCAAACTAAGGAAAGATCTAGATTGGACATAAGGAAGAAGGTGGACTGTTTTTTGTTCATTTTTATACATGCAATAAGCACAGTGATACACAGGTTGCCCAGAGAGACAGTGGATGCTCTGCCCCCAGAGACATTCAAGATCAGGCAGGACAGGGCTTTGAGGGCTCTGAGCAACCTGACCTAGCTGTAGATATATTCAGTTTTCAAGGTTGGAAAGTCAAGCACCACTTTTGCTTGGGCACCAAAAGCAGATAAGTTTAATATCATAAGCTACTTTGGTCAGTAAAAACTGTTAATATTATGAAAAGCTTTTCTACAGAACAACAAAAAAAACTAATAACAAGAAGTGGTTCGGAGGGTTTTTTGTTTTTTAATGACTTCAGGAAGTCCGGAATGTGCATTTTCATACACGATTGTAACAGACGTTAGAGAAAAAGTTAATCTGATTATCAGCCTTTATGGTTTCATAACTCATTCCTAATTCAGCCTAATTCAGGTAGTCAAATACATCCAGAATTTGAAGGATTCAAAATGTACTGTAACAGGAATCCAAGTTCAGCTACAGAATCTTTTTCAGCTTCATTTTTAGAGAATTCTGAGAAAGAATGCATTTGAAATGCTCCTGTACATAGGTTGCAATAACTTTGACATCAAAAATCAGACAATCTCCCAAAAACCATACTACAAAAATACTAAACAAAAAACAGAACAAAAAAACAGAACAGCAAACAGAACACCTAGACACACAGGGAGATAAGAACTTAGCTTGTGCCCTCCTTAGAAATCAACTGAACATTGCCTGCTTCCTTAGATAGCTGGAGATACTTACATTTGCCAAGTTTTGAATATAATTGAATAAGTAAATAAAAACAGTGAGCAAATCAGGCTAGTACTGGAGAAAATACTTTGTTCATTTACTCTAACCATGCCCCTTAAATTAAAAAAAAAAAAAAAAAAAAAAAAGTTCAGTTTCAGTTGTCCTAAAGAACCATAATTTGTGTTAAAATGAAGTCATAGAAATAAGAGGTGCCACATAAGAAAATCTTCTTTATTATAAAGATTACCTGGGAAGCGGATAGAGTAGGCATATTGTAATTTAGCAGACTGAGTGCTTAGGTTATTCTGATTTTAACAGAAAAGAAACATGAAAACTTGTACAATTTAATATTGTTTTAATACATTATTTACTGAAACAATAACTACCACCTGCTAAGACTAAGATAACTTATTTAGCAAGACTAGGTGGACCAGAGGCAAAGACAGAAGCATATGCTAATGTTCAAGAAAATGATGCCAAATGCAGAGTTCTCGCTTGGAGAACAGTCTTAGCTTATAGCCCTTTCAAAGGTAACTATTGCAGTTTGGGGAAAAAAAAAACAAACAACAAAACAACTGTAACTGCAGTTCCACAATAACGCTTTTCCAAATAACAAATTGGTAATTAGAATGGGCTCTCAAGAATATTCAGTAACCAGAAACTCTGTAATACACTCCTTTAAATTAAGAAGAGCTACTTTAACATTAAAGTAAAAATCTAGTTCTGTGACTGTCTTAATACAAACTGTGCCTTGCAAAGAACAAGTATGCAACTACAATGTACTAATTAAGTATTTATAGTAAGAAAAAATGTGTCATCACAAAAGCAGTCCGTATTTTGTGAAATTTGTGATAATTCTTTATCACTCTAACTAGAAACCAGAATCAAGGAGACGCAAGAGTGTTAAGCTTTCTTTTTCTAACTGAAAAACGAACACAGTCCATTCAAATATAATGATGGACAGACTCCAAAATATTAGTTAGCTCAGATGAAGACGCAACTGTTATGGAAGAAAAGAGAGCAAACACCCTGGGAAAACAAACAAAAACAAACAAAAAAAAACCCAAAAAACAACAAAACAACCACCATCAAACAACAAGAAACACTTAAAATCATCCTCTTTCACCTCTGCCTCATTAGTATGTATTTGAGGTTCTTTCCTCCAGCAGCAGGAGCCAAGATCCCAAGTAAGTGGCACACTTTGTTCTATGTTCTTTCAGAATATAGAATTCTTTTCCTTGAATCCTCTAAAAAGAGTTAAAACTTCTCATCTTGAATCTTTTGACTATATGAGAAAATTTACAGCTGAACTCATATCACTAAGTGCTATTAGTTTATGAAATACCTAATAACCTGTAAACAAAAATTGGAAGATAATGAACAGTCAGATCAAGCAGATTGTTTATGTGCACTTACTCCCAGAATTCCATCACCGGAGACGTAGCATTTTGCAAAGAGATTTGACTGCAGTTGCTCATATTAAGTTTCTGAAATTCCACACAGTTTTCTATAAAAACAACAACAAAGTTGTTATATTGACATGTACATACTTTTCTTCTGGTCCAAATTCTAATTTGTGCATTTGTAAAGCCACTTACTATATCATACTCTACATGGTTAAAAGGATTTCTAGATATTCTAAAATCTTCCAGCTGCTACTTCTGTAATAGTATTTTGATCACCAGATCAGAGGCTAGAAAAATATCCATGTAGTACTCTACACACTCCTACACTTTCTAAATGCACTTTGGCAATGACGAAGGCCAACTAAACATCTGAGGCTAAACGAAGAAGCTTTGAGAAATTGAGGCAATCATTCAGGAACTACAACATAATACTTCCTCAAGTGGTTGTTCAATGGCCAATGGCAACAATTGGCTGATGAAACAACCAACAACAAGTCTCCACTTTGTTTAATAGAGCAAGTGGAAAGTCACTCTTTAACTTGTATCAAATAAAGAAGAAGAAGAGCTCTTCTGTTGAATTCACTTACTGTATTCTGAGAGAATGGGTATGATTGAAAATGAGAGTCCTGGGATTTAGCCAGAATATTTTACAGAAATAACAAAGGCAAAAGCTTTCTTTTCCCATCTGACATTATATTTCACAGGAACAAATGCTTATACAATGACCTATATCAGAAAGGTATGATTAAGTCTTCACTGCACGACCTGTGCAACATGGTCTAGAGAGCCTGCTTCAGCAGGGGGGGTGGATTAGATGATCTCTAGAGATCCCTTCCAACCCTTACAATTCTGTGATTTCATTTCATCACAGTTTGACATGATCAGCCCATTCCCACAGATTTTTCTACCACAATAGTTGTGTTCTCAACACTAATTCATTTTATTAAAGTCATTATTTGTACAGCAAATATTCCCACCAAGGTCATACCTGTATTCCATTCATGCCCACATGTAGCCCAGGGAAGCTCTGTAGTAAAGCAGTTAAACAGATAGAAGATAGCCCATGCTAAAATAATGATGTAATATACATTTAGATGTGCCTCTATAACTTGGGTAGCATATCCAATACCTGGAGAGGAGGAAGAGAGAACAAAGAATTTGTACTTTCAGATAATTTAAGAACAAATGCTTAATACTATCAGTACATCCTAACTTTTGTAAAATTTTTTCCTTCATTTAAAATTTAATGTGATAGAACACAGAAAAGGTTGTTACCTTCAAACAAAGGGCAAACTTTCCTCCAGCATGTAATGCCTCCTTCACTAGTAAACTGTCCCAAGGCTGTCTCCAGGAAAAAAACTGGTATCCCACAGCAAATAAAGAAAACCACATATGGGATGAGGAAAGCACCTATGAGTAAACATTGTGGTGGTATTGGTTACAACAAACACAGTTCCTTGACAGCTTAGCAAAAAATTTATTTTCATTCCTTAGCTTTCATTCCTTAGCAGGTGCAGTGCTAAAAGTGCAAAAAGTGTTTGCTTCTGGCACCAAATATTAAAAGTTAACTCTTAAGCCATTATTGTGGACTGAAAACAAAGAACCATACAAAAACCACCCCCATCCCCAGTCAAAACACAAAGCATACTTAAGTTTTTCAGAATAGGCTAAACTCTGCTGAACATTCTCTCAAGCACAGGAAAGATCACATTCTTGCTTAGCCACACCATTCTGATCTGATTATCATCAAATCATTCTACCCTCTCTTCTCTTACTTTCTTTTCTCAGGAGAAAAGCAGGGATGAAGAAGCATTATGGAAATGAAATCCAAGTACTGTGATGTTATTTAGATAAGACCAATGACAAGGATCGTAAGAAGGGAATGACAAAATACACCTTAGGACTTCTTACACAGAGAAAGAAAACAGGACTTGGCATTGCTATCTAGAAATTGTAAGAAATTTACAAAGCATCAGCTTTTTTTCTTACATGCTGACAGTAAACTCCAGCAAAGATAGTGAGCAGTACAACTTGAAGCCTTCAACAAAATACCATTCTTCTCTTATTAACACAGAGCAGAAATTCTGTATTATTTCATGATTAACCATGTTATTAGGTATGGCAGACAGAGAACATGACTGAAGTATGAACAGAGAAGCGACAGAAGATACCTGTTAGGCACATTGTCACTTGCTAATACAGTAGATTTTAAGTATTCAATTTAGAACTGAACCTAAATAACAAGGAATGAAATACAGCCTTTTCACTACACAGAGACCCCGTTAACATACAAGGCCAAAATATTTTTTTCCTTCATTGCCCTGGTACTCAGATTTCTTAATAAACCAAAGGATGAGATAGAAAGCAACTAACTACACTGATTTAGGGGGAAACAAGGAAGGAAGAATACAAATAGGAGGAAACAATAACTATTTGGGCCATTTTTACTGACACCAGTAAACAAAGTTCCACTGGTTTAATCAGACAAACACAGTGAAGTACTGCACAAAAGTTTTGATAGATGTAGTAACTGCATACATCAATCAGTTCTTCAGAGCACTAATATTCCTACTTCAACAGGAGTCCTAAAGATTGATCTGATCATTAATGAACAACACTTTATGCAAATGGCTTGAAAGACATCTTTCCAGGCCATGATTTAAGAACTGCTGTCCAGCATGAAAACAAGTTTAGCTCACTCACATAGACAAGCACAGTGAGTTTAACATAGCAACTTAATGAAACTTATTATAATGGCTTAAATATATATTTTTAAATTCCTCTACAACAGATACCCATCAGGAAACAACAGAGTATACCAAGTTTGCCTGCTTGCAAACCAATTAGTTTCCATGAAATACCTAATTCAAGAAACATAAGTGAACTATTTTTCCAAAAAAGAAAAAAAAAAAAAAAAAGAATAGCAAGTGTCCATAAGAGCAAATCAGAAATATAGAAGCTTATGCCTACATTATCTGTTGGTAGTGCCAGAGAGAGCTTACACCTGAAGTACCCATCCTGCTTCTGAATTTGTTCTGTACCTAGCAGGCATTCTATTTAGTCACTAACTCATATACCTCTTCACTATGATTACATATTACACATGAAGTATTTCCCAGTATTTACATTCAGTGCAACAAACAAGACCCAAGTCTAATTCTAGTTCAGCAGTCTAGAGAATTACAGAAACAGAGGTGTTAGCCAAAGGTCGTAGACTGAGACCTCACCAAAGAAAACTGAAGTTAATGGCAAACTTCCCATGGTACCAGGACATTGCCAATCAAACTACATGCATTCATTCTATTCTTAAAGACTGCTGTAGTGATTAATGATGATACTTAAGTAAGCCAGCAACTGTTCAGCAAGTCATCCAACAGACTGATTAGAGACTAAAAGTACAGTAGCATGCTAAAATGAGTGAATTCTTATCATCTTAGTTTTGCCACAGTACAAATGTGTTAAAGAGGAGCTGCAAACTAGTAACACACCTACCACAAGAGTAGTCTTTAGAAACAGCAGACAAAATGGCCAAAACCACCCCTGAGTTCACCTAGTTTTGTGCAAATGAGGGAAAGAAATCTGGCATAGCACTGTTAGCAAACAAACCTCTTAAGAAAGATCCTTGCATATATCAGTCACTGAGTGTATCACTGTTCTTGAAGGATATACGTTTACACTAGGGCTGCCGATTCAGACATTAAGTGGGAGAATGTTGAATCTAGCTCACAGGATTCTAAACTTCAGGTTTTGTCTTTCTTCCTTCATTTCTGTGTGAGACATGGCTGATGTGCTTACTCTTAATTGTCATGTATCTTACCTAGATGATACCTGACTATAAGTAATACATATCATACAATACATTATACTTCTGTGATTTGAGAGAGAAAAGAATAGACTTCTACCATCTTATTTTAAGGTATACAGACCTGCTCTCTTGGCTTAGTAACAGTCAGCTTTGTATCTTCCCCTCCCTTACTGTACTGATTGGGGAAGTAATGATTAAAAAAAAAAAAAAAAAAAGTGTCTTTGACTTAAAGGGCTTTTTTTTTTTGTCATAAAAAGGTAGCATTTTCAGAAACAATATTTCCTCCCTAAAGTATGCTATTCAGAAAAATAAACTGCTACTTTATTCTCTGTCAGACAAACTTTGTTGAGTAGGCTCGATATGATAGGCTCGTATGAAAATTCGATTTCTGTAAGAAAATGTTCTATTCTAACCGGTTTCTTCTACCTTAAAAAACAACAACAACAATAATATATAAATATATTAATAATGGAAAAAAGCAAGCAACCCCATAACCAAAGAAAAACCTCGAGAAATTAAACCACGTAGTATTTGGGGAGAAGGTAAAGGAAACATCACATTTTTTAATTCATTCTCAGGTGCTTAATACTTCCCTACCTACACACACAAACAAGTCCTGAACCCCTCTTACTAGCGCAAGAAATCACTGTGAAACACCCCTAAGTGTTTATTTCCCAGATGTTTACAGTGAGCTGCAAATCAACACATGACGCCATCTTACCTCCTCCATTCTTGTAGCAAAGATATGGGAATCTCCATACATTTCCCAACCCAATAATCTCCCCTGCCACAGAAAGCACAAATTCAACCTTATTGTTCCAGTGACCTCTTTCATGAACTTTCTTATCATTGCTGTGGACGAGGTTGGTACTTGAAGCTTCTGGATCCAAAACATCTTCTGGCTTGCCGTTAATTATAGGAATAGTCTTTTCAGCTGTCATGGCTGTTCAGCCTGAAGAAAGCAAAAGAAAAATATGCAGATATCACTTGTTAATTACAACACTCAAGGACTAAGAAACTCCTTAGCATATAATTAGCTTCAAATTATGTGTTACCTACATAAATTTACAGGTGAAAGGGAACAGGGCAATTCCATAAGGCCAAAAAAGTTGTAAAAGATGAGAAACTTTTTTAATAAAAAAGATTTAAAAAAAAAAAAAGGAAGAAAATTTCATACATGAAAGTAGAAAGGTTTTCAAGTTGGGACAGTCATAGTAGAATGTTATTCTAATGGCTGGGTAGTAAAACCTTTCAAAAATCCTTCACCAAGCAGGTACACAAGTTCGACTAACCTCACAGAGGACAGGAATCTCCTGCACGTTCCAGGCATAAGACCAAGAAGAAAGGAAGAAAGGGATGTGCTGAAGGGGCCTGATCGGTTCTGGCCTGCCTGGAGGAGCAGGGAATCTCCCAGACTACTCACCCAGGGTTCTGCTTATGCCTGCGCGGTTGGGAGAGGGACTGGCTCTCTAGCCGACACTCGGCTCCGAGCGCACCTCCGCGTGCTGCCGTTCTCCTCTCTGTTGCACAGGAGGCGAGAGGCACAGCAGCTGAGGGCAGCCGGAGGCAGAGGCGGGGACGGCGGGGATAGCGCGGGCAGCGCGAGGAGATCGGGGAGCCGGGAAGCCTCGTCCTGCGCTGCGACAGCCGCCCGGCCGGCCGGCGGCGATAGGATGCGCCCCGAGCCTCGGAGGCGCAATTTGCAAACGCTCAGCCTTCCCCCGAGCGACGGTATAACACCCGCCTCTCCCCTCCGCCCACTTCAGGCTGTCCCAGTGGCTCCCCTCTTCTCCTCCTCTTCTTCCTCCCCCTCCTCCCGGCATCGTCGCCCGAGCATCCCCAGCTACTCGCTCCCCCGCCCGCCGGTGAGACAGCCGGGGCCGAGCACCGGGCGGCAGCGAACCCCGCACTCCCCGCATGCGGCTCGTGGAGGGCCCGCGGCTCCCGCACACCTGCAGCGCTGCAGTGCTGCTTGCTCAGGCGGCAGCCAGGAGCCTGGTTTGCTGCCTTCTCTTCCTTCTTTTTCCTTTTTTTTTTTTTTTCTCTCCTCCTCCATTCCTTCAAGCTCAGGTGTGGCACATCAGAAAGGAGGCCAGCTTAAAGCAGATAACATTAACTGCAGCTGGGGGAGAGGGAGCAGGCAGGGTACAGGCAATAAGAACAGGGTAAAGAAATGTTGGGGGAACATTTGGAAGGTGTGGACACGCTATGGGCGCTTTCTAGTCACTCTGGAAAATGTAGAAGCAACCCACATAGGCATTTCTAACCAGCATTTTGCTTAAAATTTGATTTGAATAAGTGTAAAATGGAAGAAAGAATAGAAAAATACGAAAATACAAACCATTCTGTTTCAGATTGAATGAAATATTTCGGAGTCATCTTTTTCTCCCCCCATTCTAATCATCTCTACACACATACGTAGTCCTGTGGTTTGTTCAGCCTATTCCATTATTCATCTCCACAGCTGGAAAACGGTCACATTTTCATTCCAAATCTTCCCTCAGATCCATGTGCTCTGTGGCAGCTGTGATCATCAATATTTCTTTCCGCAGCCCCTGGAGATGCATTTGGGACCACTATCTCTTAAAACCTGGATTAATTTAAGCACTCTGGAGGATGCTGTCCTGGAGACAGCAAGCCCTTCCTTGTGAGCTCTCCCCATTACCTTACAACTCCATGGTTTATCACACTGTCAGGAAAACTGTCATCCAGTGCTTACTGAAGACCTCTTGAAAAATACCCACGGGCAGATTTTATATTAACTTTTATATTAACCTGACTTTAGAAATGAGTCTGATTATACCCTACTTGTAGCCTAAGTACATCTACATATTCAAACTTCTGCTATGGCTGAAGTTTTATTTTGGCTTTTAAACTATGCGTGCCTCAAGACTGGGTGTTGTGGCCTCAGTCTACGCTCTGTCTAATGTACTTAACTGTATTCTCTGCCACCTTCATACACACATCTGACAGGCATAGGATAAGATCCTTTCTTTGCTAATTGATACCCATATGGAGAGTGCTGGTCTCTACTATACTATGAAATGAAAAACAGCCAATGGTAGAACTATGGTAAAACATTATGCTAACATGGAAGAATTAATATCTATCTATCTATATATATGTACATGGGTTTGCTTTATCAAAAGGATGGGGAAGGGAGGATTTTTTTTTAATGTGTTTATGTTTTTGCTTTCGTTTTTCAGTGGTGTGGGAGTGGGGAGAGGTAAGGTTAGGAGGCATCAGGGTTTTGTTTGTTTGTTACTTTGTTTTTGGTTTTAACGCAGCTGGTATCTACTAAGGTAGAATAGATTCATATTTTTCCCAATTTTGCTTCGTATAAATCAAACTCAGTTTTTAGATTCTCCCTTACCCCACCTTTCATCTACATTCCAACAGGGATCAAAACAGGCATTGTTTTTTCTGTATTCCAGCCAGGCTGAGCAGACTCAACAGGACACAAACATCAAAGGTGATACTGAATTCTCATCTGGTTACTAAAAATAGCTCTAAAAATGGATGGAAGCTAAGGGGCAGTAAATGTGTGACTAATGATACAATAACATGGAGGGAACAGTCTTCTATGTTCAACTAGGATAAATTTTTCCTCACCAACAGGGAAGTTTACACTTCTATATAGTGTGCCCAATACATCGTCCAGTGCTAAATGTATCAGAACAGTGTCACCCTGTTGATACTCTGCCTAGTGTTCTTTGTAGCAAGTCATACCATGAGTAGCTTTCTGATGCAAATAGACTAACACCAGACTGAAGGGGACTGCTCCAAAGAACAGTCTATAAGATGACTGGCAGATGCAAAAGGTATTTAATCACTGCTGATTTGCTTAGTATTTGAAATCAGAAATATGCAAAGACAAATATTTTATTCACTATGTACTCTTGCACTGATTCCCATTTGATCTGACAACTGAAGAGCTTACAACATAATTGCTAGCTGATGATCCTTGTGAATACTGAAATCCAACACAGTTTGCAACATAAAGCTTCCAAAATTTTATAAAAGGTTGATTATCCCTTTTCTTTTTTTCAATCCAAGGAAGCCTCCTCTATTGCAAGGAAAACAGTTCTCTCGATTACATCTCAGTTGGTGCACTAACCTCGTGTACTGCGTGCTCCTCATCATGAATTCACGTCTGCTTCTGTCAGTCTGTTGGGAGATCTGCACATGGCGTGAAACCAGAGAAGAACACAGTGAATGGGATGGGAGCAAGTCTTGTGAAATGGTTGAACTGTAAGACAAAAAACATAGTTACCAACATCAGCAGGCCGTTCCTAGTAAAACCAGTATCTAATACTAAAACAGTCATTAATTATCTAAAGCGTACTTCATGTTCTATAGAGGGGCTAGCCGCATCACAAATCTCAAGTAATCTAGTTATGTCCAAGAAGATTTTTTCTGCACTGTCTGCTCCATTCCTGATCTGCACAAGCATTTGGAGTTCTTACCTCCAACCCATTCACCATAAGTAAATTTCCTGGCCATTCCTCCTGAGTTCCACATTAAAATGATGTTACCTAGCAAAATAATTCATTTGCCTTATTCAGATTTTATCTCCAAATCCCTAAGGAAACCGTTAAAGCTCTATGTAGGAAGTAGACTGTGAGCAGAAGGCAAATGTTTCTGCCAGTTAAGGAAAGGTGTGTGAAGTTCCAAATGTTCTAAAACTAATCATATTTAGATTCGTAAACTAAAATTAATAAAGACAAGAAATTAACATGTGGAGACCATGCTGATAAAAAAACCTCCAAGAAAAAGCCATGTTTCCACAGGATATGTCAGGGTGCTAAAATGCACGGCAGTAGCATTGCCCAGACGTAACAAGGAATACATGCTGCACCTTCCCTGGCTGCAGGCAGAACACATTCAGGCTATTAATTCATACTCTTCTGGGACATCTGATCAGTCCATATCTTCAAGGCACAAACACCTAGTGTGAAGACATACTAATACAAGGAAGGTTAACTCTCTTCCCTTTTTTCTGTCCTACCTCTACAAAATTCAGAAGGCACACGAAGAAAACTGCTTGAGACAGTTTTACATTTTGACTCCCTAATGCTCTGGGCTCTTCTGGGAATTCAGGATGCTCTACTCATCCGATGCTTTTTGATCCTTTTTAGGATGCCTGAGTTTCTGTAGCAATTGATTCAGATAAGATGAAGTTTCTACTACACCACAAAAATCTTTTGGCTTATGTAGATGCTTCTATTTTTGTACTTTTTTCCTAAATAAAACAAATAAAAAAAAAGGTTATAAGTAGCTATACAGAAAATAATTTTAATTAATATTAAAGCTACTATGAACATATCTGATTTTGTAATAGCAAGACCAATGCAACTTTCAAGGGTTTAACGTGAGCAAAAAACACGTTATATAGATCTGGAAATGAAAAACAAGCTGTATTCCATTTCTACTCCTTATTAAATCACAGTGCCTGTGCTTGATTTCTTGTTCTTTCAGTAACCCTATGTCAATGTAATTGAAGTGGGGTATGGAGGGAAACAATCGTATCCAGGTTTAAGTTTTAGTTTAGATTTGATGTAAGCAAAATCTGCTCAAGTCTTATGTAAGGATTTCACAAAGTTAGGCCCTTCATGAGTAAATAGCTACACAAAAGAGAAGAAATACAATAAGAACATCATTAGTGATACTGATCTGACACAACATTTTGGATCAAAAGACTGAGATCATAAAGCAGTTTGTGAACTAAGACATCTTTAGCTAGGCTTTTGCAGAACAGACTTAAGTCTAACAGCAGCAGGCTCTCTGAATCTTGTCTGATCAGTTTCTGAAATAGAAAAAAAAAACCTGTCTTGAAGTTAAACAACTGATTGCTGGGCTCCTATTTAGAGAGGCTTAACAGCTATCATTGCAGATCTCTCTCTCAAATTTATCCCCCATGACTGACAATGGTTTAGATGCTGAACTCACATTTCAAAAGAACTGTTGAAACCACTATCACATCCATTGATGTGGCCCTTCGGGGGATTTCTCTTGCCCTTTCTGTCAGGCTGAGATCCATCTTTTCTTTCTGTTAGATGCATTTCACCCTTCAGGACATTGTATCTTCGATGCAGGACTGGGTGCTATTTTCCACAGTACAGCTTTTCCATTACAGACGCGCTAATATATGCCTTCATCTTTAACCATCTCTGAGGCACCTTGCTGTTAAAAGTTTTAGTTCCAGCTCCCCTGCAGCATTCCTCACTGCCTGCCTAAACAGTTAGACAGTCTTTTCTTGACAGTCAATCAGCTCCCGCTTTTAATTTACTATTTTTTACTGTATAACTAAAGTGATCCAGTGCTCCACTGACAAGGTACCACAGTCTGTGAGTTCTCCATGCTGCCTCATAAAGGCAAGCACTGTTTCCACTGTATTTTATGTATACCCCACTCTGCTAATATTGTTTGAAATATCTTGACCTTCCTAAACATGAGTTTTACTGGCAGAGAGCACTAGAAGGGAATTTTCAGTAGCAGGGTTCATACACATCTTCCCAGAATTAGCAGTCATCTACTGAAATTGAAGAGATCATTCTATGTTGTGCCAGTCACGTCTGATGACTTAGCAAACAAAAACATTTTTACTTCTGTCAGTACTTCAGACAATAAAAGTAGAAAGAAATGGAACAGTAAGCATGAATTTATTTTTATTAATAAAAAAACCAAACAGCCATCCTCATGCCTCTGTCTGGAAACTTTGAGTTGCTCTAC